CCCCGTCTCTCACCACACACTTCTCTCGGTGTACAAGTGTATTACAAGTGAATCCTCACAATTAGACTCAATACAAAGTGTTTGTTCTCTACAATGAATGAGAACGAATTATAAGCTCACTCTCTAAGTTACACAATCCCACAACCCAATTATACTATGAATGTAAATACAATAAGCTCAAATGGTTGTGTGTATAAACATAGAGAAAATAAAATTAACTAAACTCAATATGAATACTAGCTTAATAAAATGATAATCAAACAATATGAAATATAAAGCTAGATTGAGTTTAGAAAACTTCTCAATAGATGACAAGAGATGGAGGGAGAATAGTTGATTGCTCAAACTCTAATAGATGATCTCCTCAAGCTCTTGTGGAATTGAATTCTCAAACTCAAACACCCAATTGCTTAAAAGCTTCTAAACAAACATTAAACAAACTTAAACCCTTGTTTAAAACTCTTTAAACTTGTTTAAAATATTTCTTAAGTTCTCTTAGAAGTATGAGGGCATGGGGTATATATAGGCTCATGAAACAAGTCCAAAAACCAAGAAAAACACCCCCAAAACATTAAAATAAACAAAAAACAGAATTAGCCATTACTGTAGCAACGGTCAGTTGCTACAGTAACTTCGGTCGACCGGTACGGTCGACCGTGAGCTATCTGCAAAGCTGAGAAACGTCATGAGACATTTCCGGTCGACCGGTACGGTCGACCGGAGTTACTGTAGCAGTGCGCAGCTGTTTTGTAAAATCAATTTAAAATAGTAAATGAACTCCAAAAATTATGAAATTTTGTGGGAATGTTCTAGACATGTAGAATAACATGTCAGAGAAAGAATTTCTGAAAAATCGTTTCCTAGTTGAGAGAAATAAATGTTTTAACACAGATTTACAGTTTCTGAAAAACTGCAGACATACACGATTTTCTAAAATCAATTGGGTACAGTAAATCAACTCCAAAAATAGTAAAATTTTGAGAAAAGTTTCTAAACATGTATATAAACATGTCAAAGAAAGAATTTCTTGAATATCACTTCCCATTTATAAAAACTCATCTGTTTTGTAAAACATGCACGAACATGTGCACAAACGAAAACGTGAATTTGTAAATTTCTTTAAACATAACAAATCAATTCCAAACTTGATGAAACTTTGAGAAATGTTTGCAAATGATATTTTGAACATGTTACAAAAAGAATTTTCCAATTTGCATTTCCCAATTGTGAAATCTCATTATTTTGCAAAAGTGTTCAAAACATGAAAAAAGTAATATACATGAAGTTTGATGTTTTGACATAAATAATGTTTTGAAACTTTGCACAATGATTATATAGACTTGATAAAATATGTATATGATGATTGTTAAGTCTATAAACTGAGAATACAATATTTGAGCTTAGAAACCAAATACGTGTGTGTATATGATATTGAGCTTAGAGTATCTAACACACATAATATAAATCCTAAACTAAATTACCCAAGCTTGATTGGTCTTCAATAAGCTCTACTTGGTAATCTCGCGGATGAAGCTTGAACTTGATCTTTAACTTTGAATTGCAAGGCTTCACCGACATTCCGCCAACCTCCTTTGGATATGATCGTTGAAGCTCTATTCCATCCATCCTCCAACAACGTTGTTTGTCTACAATAAATAAGAAAACACAAATACTAGACAAACAACATTAGTGGTAAATTGTTTGTTAAACATCATCAAAACAAGAAGGCTAACACAAAGTATTCCAGCCTCTTCTACAAAAAAAACGAGTCTGGAATGCTTTGGAGGGGGTATCTGTGGGCATCGAAAATTGCCTATAGGTCTCCACGAACGGTTCAGTGTTAAGAAAAGACGATGAACGTCACTATCCAGTTTACAGAAGCTTGATTGACATCGACAAATGCTTGAAGTGAAACGATGAACTACGTGAAGCATCGGAGTTTCAGAATAACGAGGATACGAATTGATCGGGAGCCCCGCGTCGCCTACAAAAGTCGCTACGCCCCTCATTTCCTAGTTGATTCCACAGATGATCTAATCATTGGAGCTTATAGAACTCCTTGTCGGCTTTCCAACGCACTTTGAATCACTCAAATCCGAGTTCGGATGAAGAAGTTACGGAGGAAACGAACAAACGTACGAAAAAACGGCGTCTCAACACCCTTGGGTGTCTCGGCCCAGGTTGAGACACCCTGGGGTGTCTCCAGCCCCAAACATGTCCGTTACGCGGTTTTAACCGCCCGGATCTCCCTCAAGCCTATAAATACAAGCCTTAGACCCTTATTTTTTCGGATCTGGAATTCTCGTGCCTCGGCGAAGCCCTGCCGGATTGAAGACTTAAAGTGCACAGATTTCAGAGAGGAGGAGTTAGATCTGCAGCCCGGTTCGTTCCTTAGGATTATCCCGTTGCGGTAATCTTAAGAAGAGTGATTATCTCACTTCGTTCTCGATCCCTTCGTGGATAGACGAAACTCTGTCCAAATATTGATCGTTCGGTGGTCCACGGACTAACACGTCCCCGTAACAGGCCAAGATCTCACGCAAGCAGCGGGCGATAAACACTCGTTGCGTTTGTTTGAAGAGAATTGTAATTTTTTTGTTTTCATTGTGTAAAAGTCTTATAAAAAGACTGATTTTTGTTTTCATTGTAAACGTCTGAAGTTTGTAATGAATCCCGCAATTAATCAATCAATTTTCACCGCAAACAAGAGACAATGGAAAATATGTGTTAGAAATCTTGAAACATTATGATTTTTGTTTTATAAATTTTGAAAAATATTTAGATCACGATGAATAAAGTGGATCGTCTATTGGAATAGCCTAATCCACACACACGGAACTGATAAATGAACTTGCCATATTCTATTTATGTATGATTTTTAATAAAGTTCTTCTAGGATTTTCCTCCCATATGGAAACAGTTGGTGCGGATATGGAGGATATACTAGGTGAACTAGCGTAGGATTGATGTAGGGCACGTGCATTGTTTGGATAGTTTTACACGCAAAGTCCACATATGGTTTGCATGTAGTAGACTAAAAATTTTGTTGATGAATTAGGGTTGTACGGGCTTATGTGTAGGGACAAAAACATTCAGAATCAACGAGTCTGCCAGAATTCTCGGAATAATGTTTGTTTTCTACTCTTTGACGTTTTATCGTTTAGGCTTTGCCAAGTCAAACCTTCAAGCTCAAATGCATACTACTGATACTGTGCGCTAGGTATATCTTTGTAATTTATTAGGACTACTACACTCACTTCTTTTTTTAAGGGTAAAAAAAGGGGTGGGGTTAAATAGAAAGATCAATATCTAGTTGTTTAATCTTTTTTGGAATATTGATAGGATCCTTACGCTCTGTTTAAGGCACATTCATCTCCCTGACCCAGAGAGACCTGATTATTTTCAAGCAAGTAGTATCAAAACCTCAGAGTCGCAACTATTACTAATGTCCCACCTAGCTTAATAGGTGTAATGAAGCTACATGAAAAAAAGGCAAGGTGCATCATCGGGTTGAAATTGATGAATTACGTTTTGCCATATGGATTTTTTTAAAAGACTTTTCGGATAAAGTCCAATATTTAGAATCCAAATAAAGGTGCATACATGGGTGGAAAGGGAGCCTCTTACATTTTTTTTTTTTTTTTTTTTTGGGGGGGGGGGGGGGGGCG